CACATAATTACCATTTTTATATGTGAGGAGGAGAACACTTATGATCTACTCTTAGCAAATTGCAAGCTTACAATACACTATTATTAATTACAGGCACTATGCTATACCTTAAATCCCCAGAATATATTCATCTTATAGCTGAAAATTTGTACCCTTTGTCCAGCATTTCCCGCTTCCCCACCAAGTCCCAGCCCTGGCAACCACCATTCTACCATCTGCTTCTATGGGTTTGACTTTTTTCAGATGCCACGTGTGAGGGATATCATACAGTATCTGTCTTTCCCTAATTTATTTCATTGAGCATAATGCCTTCAAGGTCATCCATTTTTTTGTCGCAGATGGCGGGATTTCCTTCTTTCTCGTGGCTGAGTAATATCACATTATATATCACATTTTCTTTATCGATTCATCAGTTGACAGTTAGGTTGACAACATAATCCTGGCTATTGTCAACAATGCTGCAAAGATCATGAGAGGACAGTGTCTCTGAGAAATTGTAACCTTGCTTGTTTTACAGTCGAAGGCTTATTAATAGTCAAAGCGATAGTCAAAATAGTCTGCGATTTGATGGAGTGGTTCCTGTTTCACGTTGGCCATTTTGCTCTGTTTCCCTTTGTTCTTGTTTTTCCAGAAATGCATAACCACTGAGCCCTAGAACAGATGTGCTGATCTGGACAGTGTAATGACCACACTCAAGCTCTAATGTCAGCAAAGCACCTCGTGGTGAATGTACACATTCTCTGAAAATAGGAGAGCCGCCCACCCCCAGCCCTTAGCCTGCAGCTGTTTCCTCGTTCACTTTTTTATGTAAATCCTGGCTAAAATGTGGGGAGCTGGGAGTTGCTTCTTAAGGACAGTAGTCCATCTTCTCCCCAGGTTGACGGCTTCCTTAAAAGAAAGCTACTTTTCCTTTACTGTGCGCCTGTCTCTCAGAATTGTTTTCTTGACTTCGGCAACAATGCTGATTTCATTTCCTTTGGATGTATACCCAGAATTGAGGCTGATGAATCAAATGATAGTTCTGCTTTTAATTTCTTGAGAAAACGCCATACTGTTTTTCATAATGACTATACCAATTTACATTCTCACCAACAGAGCACAAGGGTTCCCTTTTCTTCATATCCTCTCCAACACTCGTTATCTCTTTTCATTTAACCATCCTAACAGGTGTAAAGTGATAGTTTACTGTGATTTTGATTTTCATTTCCCTGATGACAGTGACGCTGAGCACCTTTTTGTGTACCCGTTGGCCATTTGTGTGTCTTCTTTGGTAAAATGTCTATTCAGGTCCTTTGCCAATTAATGGAATTATTTGGGTTTTTTGCTATTGACTTGTAAGGAGTTCCTTATATATTTTAATTGTTAATATCTTATCAGATATATGGTTACTGACAAATATATTTTTCTCCCATTCCCTAGGTTGCCTCTTTATTCTACTGATGGTTTCCTTTGCTATGCAGAAGCTTTTCACTTTTATATAGTCCCAATTGTTTATTTTTGCTTTTGTTATTTATGCTCTTGGTGCCATATCAAAAAAAAAAATCACTGCCTGATGGCCAATAAGCAAATGAAAAGATGCTCAACATCACTAATTATTAGAGAAATGTAAGTCAAAACTACAGTGAGGTAACACCTCACACCAGTCAGAATGGCCATCATTAAAAAGTTCACAAACAATAAATGCTGGAGAGGGGGTGGAGAAAAGGGAACCTTCCTACACTGTTGGTGGGAATGCAGTTTGGTGCAGCCATTATGGAAAACAGTATGGAGACTCCTTTAAAAACTAAAAATAGAGTTACCATATGATCCAGCAATCCCACTCCTGGGCATATAGCTGGAGGAAACTCTTAATTCGAAAAGATACATGCACTACAATGTTTACAGCAGCAGTATTTACAATAGCCAAGACATGGAAATAACCTAAATGTCCACCAACAGATGAATAAATTAAGAAAATGTGGTGTGTCCATATATGCAACAGAATACTACCCAGCCATAAAAAAGGATAAAGTAATGTCATTTGCAGCAACACAGATGGACCTGGAGATCATCATACTAAGTGAAGTAAGTCAGTCAGAGAAAGGCAGTTATCATAGGATATCACTTATATGTGGAATCTAAAAAAAAAAAACAGAATGATACAAATGAACTTATTTACAAAACAGAAATAGACTCACAGACATAGAAAACAAACTTAAGGTCACCAAAGGGGAAAGAGGGGAGGAATAAATTTGGAATTTGGGATTAATAGATACACACTACTATATATAAAGTAAACGACAATGACCTACTATATAGCACATGGAACTATATTTAATATCTTATAATAACTTATAATAGGAAAGAATCTGAAAAAAAAGATATATGTATATATACAAAACTGAATCACTTTGCTGTACACCTGAAACATTGTAAATCAGCTACACTTCAATTTAAAAAATACATATAGCTTATATATAGGGAATATAGTCAATATTTTATAATAAATATAAATATAATATATAATATAATATATAATAATAATAAATATAATAAATATAAAGAGTATAATATTTAAAAATTGTGAATCACTATGTTGTACACATGTAACTTATATAATATTGTACATCAACTATACTTCAATAAAAAGATAAATTTAAAAAATCATTGTCAAGGCCAATGTCAAGGAGCTTCTTCCCTATGTTTTTTGTACGTGTCTGTTCAGTCTATTGATTAGTAAGTTTCCTTCGGTGGTGTCGTGTTTGCCTGCTTCTTTGGGATCTCTGTGGCCTGACATTGGTGTCTGTACATTTGAAGGAGCAAACACATCCTCGTCTTTACATATTGTTTCTGATATGTAATGATTTTCTCTTGTCGGGCCCCTGAGCTGATGCGATTACCTCTGGGGTCAGTCAAACAAGGTTAGAACTAGTCACCTGGCTGCTGCTGGGTTCTCAGTTGAGTCTGCAGACAGCAGGCTTGTTACCAGGCACACAAATACTCATGGCTCCTGCTGGGTCACTGGGCAGGTCTCTGCGTGGACAGAACTGGCCCTGAACCACAGCTGAGAAGGGCTGGAGCCAAGTCTCAGGGTCCCTTCAGGATCCATAGCTGAATCAAAGTCAGGGAGCCTGCCTCCCAGCATCGATGGGCACGCCTCCTGCCACGTCCCTGAGTTGGCAGGACTGCTCCCAGACCATGGCTGAGGCTAGAGCCAGGTCACAGGCTGCTTTGGGGTCCAAAGACCCAACCAAGATAGGCAGGCTTATTACCCAAGGCTCAGGTGGGCATGACTTCTCCGGCATCCCTTGGCTGATGGTACTGTTCACAGGACCAAGGCCAAACTGAGCTGTAGCCAGGTCCCCTAGGGGGGGAGGCTTCTTTCGGGTCTGCAGTCAGGACCGTAGCCAGTGAGCCTTCCTTGTCAGGAAACAACAGGGGAAATAACAGGCAGGGAAGAAAAATTAGAGTTGGCAGATCTGTGCTTTTGCTCGTATGAATGCAAGTCTGTCTTCTTTGGTTTGCCTTTTTTTTTTAAGGATCATATACTTTTTTTTCACTTTTCTTTTCTTTTTTTAAATTTTTTTCCCCTTAACAGGGACGCTGGGAACTGAACCAAGGATCCTGCATGCCAAGCCCGTGCTCTTCCACTGAGCTAGAACCCCCACTCTCAGGTTTGCTTTCTCGATACAGACTCCTTGATGGCTCCACTGGGGTTTCACAACCTCCTACCTGGAACCCAAAGCTTCCATACAGGAAGTTCTGTCCATGAACGGCTGCTAAAATTATTATTGCTTGGGTAGGATATAACAGGGGACCTCCTATTCCGCCATCTTGCTGACCCAGAACAAACATTTTAAAACCAAACTGAGAGTGTTCTCTAATAGTTCTTGGAAGAACTATGATAGACTACATTTCTCACAGGTAGCATCCTTCCTGGCACACCGAAAGTCCAGCTTTGATGTATATCTCTATGGGTTTCCTCCTGGGCTGGAAAACTCTCAGGGCATCTATCTTAGGGAAGAAAAATCATACGTCAAAAACCACTATGCCAGAGATCTTCCTGTGTGCCAGGCTCCCCACCCTCCCTGCCCCAACTTCAGACTTACAACTTCTACTTCCATTTTTATGTGTTGTAAGCCCTTGCCCCCATCAAATCTAATCTCTCAAGAGACATAAATAAAACATAACTAAGTGGAATGGGAAAGGAAACATTGCTGACAACAGTCATTCACAGAATTTATCCTCACTGGGCTGAAGTAAGAAGTGTGAATCCTGAAGGTTTGGGATAGGAAACAAAGAAAAATTATTGCTTCATTCTCCCTGACCATATCTCTCAAGACTTCTTCCTGGTTTACTTACATTGTTTGGACAAGCACACTTGACCACACCTCCTGACATTGCTTAATATTTGCCTGAGTGAAAGAGGCTGAGGCAAATTGAAGGAGGAGCCCTCACTACCCTCTGTCCATCATCCAATAAAAAGCCAGCCAGGCCCTGCGCAGTCTCATACACTGTCAGAGAGATGAGACCATCATACCTGCTGCCCCTAGCGGGGCTCCTACTGTCTTCCCTTATCCCAGGCCAACTATGCAAGATCTGCGGTGAGTACACTTTGAGCTAAAATTGCTCTGGGGTGACAGTCTCCTAAAGGCTACTGACATGGGACTTTGTGTAGAGTCACCTGAAAAAAGCCCATTCCAGTTCTTTCTGCGTTGGACTCTATGAGTACCGTGAAGAGTGGCAGGAGATGGTGAGGCAAGTTCCACAACGTATGTTGTCTTGAGAGGGATCATAGATTCGATATTAACTTGCCTGACTCCTCTTCCTATGCTAAGAGCCTCTCGGCCACAACAGCACTACCAAGTGACTTCCTACTCTTGATCACTGTCAGTGATAGAAAACTCACGATCCCAGAAATTTTTCAAGATCATGGAAAGGGATCTTCTGATTTTGAGGTGCAAAGTTTCTTTCTGAAGTTCAAGCCATGGGTTTTGGGTTAACTCCTTGTAATCACACAGAAAAAAAAAGTTAATCATCTCTCAAATAATGGAGACAGCTCTCTTGTCCTTACTGAGTTTAGATATTCCAAGCTACACATCTCTCTCTTTTCAGCTCTTCCCCACAGGACATGGGCAGAAGCCCCATCATCTCTCCTCTGGGTATATGTTCCAGAGAGTGTGTGCTTCTATTTTTGAAAAATACTAAATGAGAGAAAGAAAAACTGGGTTCAGGTCTAGTCTGACCCCTTAGTAGCCAAATGATCTACTGTTTCTGATGTTTCCTAGCTTCTTAAATGGATAATAATCAAGGAAGTGTGTTGAAGCAGGTGATTGCCTAAAGTCTGGTCCAGCTTGCAAGTGCATGATTTCTCTTTTCTGAGTCTTTGCCCTGGATCTGAGCTTCAAACCACTCTGTGGTGCCATCTGTGGTGCCATCTGTAGCTACATCTTCCTGGCACTCTCTAGCCTGCAAGAAGAGATCAGCACCACAGCAGAAAGGCTTATGTTCAGAAGTGGTCAGCTCCAATTTTTTTTCCTGGCTTGTCATTTCTTCTGTTGTATCTGAAGAATGGAGGGGGGGGGGTCTCTCTGGAAACTCTGAAGTTTAATTCATTGCACAAAATAATTAACTTTGTCTTTAGTGGTTAAGGAAGCTGATTTGAGCTGTTGACTAGGAACTAAAAAGTCTATTTCAGTGCCAGAAAATCTGCTGAACTGGATGCTTCCACCAAATCTCAGAGATGACTCACAATTGTCCCATTGTGCCTGTAAGAAAGCATGACCTGTCTACAATCACTCCATTCAGATCCTCCTGACTCTCTCCTCTAAAGTGAAGAAAGGTGGGCAAGGGAAATACCATTTCCTGGAATCTCTACGTATATTGATAGAAACTCGAGTTGAGCTGGGGTAATAATAAGTACAGTATTCCTATCCAATATCTATGAAGTAAGCATTAATATTCACAATTTTAATGGAGGTCAAGAAAGTTACATAACTTACCCCCAGTTATGAATTAAGTAGCAAAGAATCCATCCTGAACCCAGAGTTCGTGTTCTTATTATTCCACAAACCTATGAGATAATCTGGAGATGGACAGGATTTTCTTGGGATTATGGTCAAAGTCTATTTAGAAGTGTTTGAAGTGATAGTAAACTCTTCTGACTCTCCTCCAGTTCCTGGTGGTGGGGAATGGCTTTGGATTCCCTTCTTATTTCCACAGTGTAATGTGACTCCCTCCGTCCTTGCTGCTGGGATTCTGGCATGTTGTAGGCTGAAACTGGAAGTTTTCCAGATGGTGTGTGCTGCTGAATAATAATCCTGGTGTCTGGCCGGTTGAGCAGTGAGACATGCAGCTTGGGAGTCAATCGTCACCAGTGACACATAGCATTTTTGCCTCCTTCCTCTTCTCTCTTCTTCTCTTCAGTATGAATCCAGTTGAACTAGAAGAAGACAGAGAAGGAAACCATGGAATCCAGAAAGCAGACTGGGCTAGAGGCTGGGAACCAGGAGACATGTACTGTAGTCTCAGTTATGGCTCCGATTACCAAGGTCCCTTTAAGGAGACCCTCTCTGGGCCTCAAATTAGGTGGTGGTTCTAGATCTACCAGGCAGGACTGATACTCTGCCAGGACACAAGGGTGAGGCTGAAACACTTGTTAAAACATTTAATGCTTCCATGCTGGTTAGCAAAAAAGCAATACCTGGCACAGTGGGGCTCCGGGCCCACCTACGTGTTGTTCCAGCAACAATGCCAGGGGCCCCTGGCTGGGTCTAGGTCTGTGCTGTATCTGTGACTAAGCCTTTTAATATCGTCCCAGTTCCTAGCCCTAATATTTTATGAGTGTGTTTCTTATTTCCTCCCTCCCTGGCCACAGAGGTAAGCAAAGAAAACTACTCTGACCTAAAGCCTCTTCTAAGCACAATGGTCAATTCAAAATACACCAGAGGAATCCAAGCTGCCAATATCTTGCTGTCCCTCAAGCTTGTTGGGATTCAGAACCAAAGCCTAGAACATCAGCTGACCCAGCGGATCCAAGAAGATATGGAAAGGAAAGGTGAGTGCCCATACTCCCCAGAAGACTTAGGGAAAGATTCACCTATCAGTAAAGATCATCTCCAGTGAGTCCTAAAAATTGTGTGTCCAGAGCATCCACAATACATCCATCTTAGTTGTGAAAAACTTGAGGTGAACAGAAACCGTGAGGCAAACAGAAGCAGAAATAAAACACTGGACACATAAAACTTATATAATGTTATATACCCATGTTACCTAAATTTTTTAAAAAATCTAATACACATGTGTATTTTTTTAGATAAAGTTCACATGAAATAAAAAAAAAAGTGAGGTGACCAAAAAGATAGCTCCAAACATCAGTGCCCTGCCACTTGCTCTAGAGCTAAGCTTTCCCTCTCTTTGGGCCCCGAAAATCATTTTCCCTAAGAAGGAAAAGCAAAAGAAAGTATAGACTCTCATCCATTTCGATTATTGTATAATCTAGCTGGATTCACCGCCAGACAGGGGTGTGGACCACACTCAGGAAAGCTGACAGCAGAGAGGCAACCACAGAGCGATGGAGATGTGGGCTGGATTGGAGACCAGGCTCCCCTTTGAGCCTTTCATGTCCACACTGAGCCTCAGCCTTCTAACGCGTAGGAGGGGAAATAAAGCCACTTCTACCTGCCTAACCCTATTATTGTGAGAATTAGGAGAGTTCTGGTACTCCATACTGAAGGACATACAAGCCAAAATTATTGCTATCCCGGCAAGATGGTACCCACAAGGAAAGAAAGTCCCAAGGCATTACTATTTATCTATTCTGATTCTTTGTTCTCTTTTATAAGGATGGCGTGATTCCAAAAAGAGCCCATAATTTCATGGGGAAAACTAAGATCTAACTTGCATTTACACAGTACTGCTAAAAAAAAAATATGCCTCTGCTCTGGGGATAAAGAACAGAACAATAAAACACACGGTGGCACTGGAGAAAGAAGGGGCAGGCATGTAAGCACAAGGAAGACAGGAGCTTCATAAAAATCACGAGCGTGTTCCTTGGTTAACTTGAACACTTTTCTTTTCAGGGTCCAACTTAACCTCAGGACAGCTTGCCTTGATTATTCTGGCTCAGGAAGCATGTAAAAACACCAGTGAAGTGTTTATAAGGGATGTCGATCTGGTCAAAACACTAGAAGAGAAATTCCGAGCAGAAATTGGGAATATGGGTGAGAATCAAAAGTTCAGAGACCCTGGACAACCTTGTTTTTCTCTCCTGCTGATTCAGAACTGTGTGCCGTTTCCCTCCACTCTTCTCTGCTCCTCTTCATTTCGATCATCCCCCTACACCTTGGAAGATCACTTTCCCTTCTTCCTCCTTTCAACATGCGTCTTGAATTTTCAAGTATGTTCAACAGAGCGTGGACCCTACGTCAAGCACTACTTTCTATAGGCTGATGAATACACACACTCTCACACACAATATACCTCTTTTTAAATGTAGAGAAATGGAAATAAAGGAAGTAGAAATGAACTGAAAAAATACTATTCCGGTACCCCTTTCCTGAGTAAGGTGTGTCTTTTCTCTCTGCCAGAAATACATAATGGCAATCCGCTGACTAACTATTACCAGCTCAGCCTGGACGTCTTGGCCTTGTGTCTGTTCAGTGGGAACTACGCAGTCACTGAAATTGTTGACCACTTCGCTCCTGACAATAAAAACTATTATCTTGGTGGCCATTTCTCAGTAGGTGAGTCATTAAACCCAATTCCCAGGGAAAGGATATAGTTCGGTGGTGGAGTGGGGGCTTAGCATGCATGAGATTCTGCATTCAATCCCCAGTACCTCCACTAAAATAAATAAGTAAGTAAATAAACCTAATCCTACCCCTTAAAAAAAACCCCAACTCCCTTGGTTTAGAGGAAGTGGGCACCAGTAGGTCTTGTCCTTTGAATTTTTCTACCAGTAAGTACTTGAATTTTTTTCTCTCCTCTTGACCCTGGTCTCCTTAGAAGAGAATGTTTTTTAGAATAGATATTGACTTCTATTTAAGCCTCTTTCCAAATATGCAGTCTGGTAGAAAGATCTGGTTCCTACTCCTCCTTTTCTTTGAGTAACCAATGGATGTTAACTCTTGACTTTGATTTTCCCATCTGTAAAATGAGGATAGATCATGAGAATCGTCATAAAAGACGTCTGGGAAGTATAAGTGTTTGAGAAAAGGAATGCAGTGGAATTCATTTATCTTAACCCTTCATCTTTCTCTGATCTTACTGGGACCATTTGGATGTGTGGGTTTACTTGAACAATGCAACCTGTCCAGTGGTAAAGCCCAGTATGATGATCAATAGTGTGTTCACCACAGAGAAGGACCAGAAATTTTCCAGTGGATCAGCTTACACATCCAAAGAGAAGTCCCCTTCAGACAGATAGAATTGGTGTTCAGCCCCTAGGGAACCAGATACCCAAGCTCACTTCTCCCCAACACACTCAAAGAAGATCATCATTCAGTATTTCAAGGTAGTAAGAAGAACCTGAGATTTCTTGTACTCCTTTTTCTCTGAGAGAGAGAAGGTGCCAAGCCTAAAGAACATGGAGTGGACAAAGTAATGAGACAGAAAAAGAGACCTTAGCCTCCCTTCTTCCAACATCTTGTCTCATCCTAACCCCTTAAGGGGGCTGATTGAACAATTCTCTTAAATGCTATTTTTTCAATCAGTCTGATTGAAAACCTTGGAACCTCACAAAGACATATTTGTCTGGTGCCTCTTTCTGGGCTTTCTCAATTTCTTCACCAATATGGCTGAAAGATGAAAAAAAAATTAAAAAGAGAGAGAGAACAACCAGGATGTAAAAGCAGAAGACTGTCCATGTGTTTGCACCTACAAATCCATATGTGTTTCTGTGACCAAGATGTGAGTACCAGGTACATGGCTTCTCAACATAAGGAAGGATTGTGGGAAATTGTAGAGGTTAGTGCTGGAGGCATGATTGCTATATCATGAAATTCTTCTCTCCCATCATTGACCAGCATGACCAACCATGCCAGTTTGCCAGGATCTGCCCTTTCTGTTAGTACTGAAAGTCCCAGATACCAGGAAATTGCTCGGTCCAGGGCTAAGTGGGACGGTTAGTCACCCTATCACGAATGTTTTGTTTCGTGGCAGATACTGGAGCAATGGCTGTTCTTGCTCTGACCTGTGTGCAGAGGAGTATAATGAGCGGGAAGATTGAAGCAGATGAAAAGGATTTAAACAAAATCAATCATTACAGAGAGTCGCTGGTAAATAAGACTCTGTCTGAGGAAAAAGATGGTCTCTTTGGAAACACATATAGTACAGGAGAAGCCATGCAGGTAAGTCAAAGGGTAAAACGGGAGACAGAGAAGCAGTGATGGAGGAAAGCAACATCTTTATCCTTCTTTATTGGCCTCTTATAATCTTATTATCCATTCTGTTTCCTATGGTAACTTTGATTTTATTCATGTGATTCCCCTCCCCTGCCTGAAATGAATTTCTCCTCACCTTCAATACCTACATTTCCACATCCATTGCTTCTATGAAGGTTTCCCTGACTACAATTTTTTAAAGAAATTCTAGCACCTGCTGCAATCTAGACTTTTGTTCTAACAAATGCATTTTCACAACTTACCATATACCATTATTTTATGCTTTCATCTTACCTCTCAGAGTAGGTTATTATTACAGAAATAATAAGTGTTAGTGGCAGTAACAGCAATTAGTATTTATTTTATTTTTTTATTGTTTTTGGAGGGGAAGTAGTTAAGTTTATTTATTTTTAGAGGAGGTACTGGGGACGGAACCCAGGACCTTAGGTATGCTAAGCATGCGCTCTACCACTTGAGCTATACCTTCCCCTCAATTAGTATTTGTTGACATGAACTCATTAACACACACACCAACCCAATGAAGGGAGAATTATTACCCCCATTTCCTAGAAAAGGAGGATGAGTCACAGAGTACCAGTAACTTGCCTAATAGTACCGAGCCAGAGAGCGATGCAGACAGGAATGGCACACAAATGGTTGGTTTCAAAACTCACACCCAACACCTAGACTCTGCTCTGTGGGTTCCTTGAAGTCTGAGACTTTATTCCAGCATCCACTCGCTGATCTACTCAACTGTAAGGGGTAGATACAAGAAGAGATCAAAGAAGGTTTACAGGAAAAAAAAAATCACTGGCTCTTTTGTATGCTTTGAGGTCTGTTTAGCTGACTCAGGATAAGAGGACTTTCAAAGAGAGAGAAGAAGCAAGAACAAAGGCCAAACGCATGAAAGAACATTACATATTTTAGGAAGATCAGGGTATTCAGCGCAGCCAGCACAGGGTCCTAGGGAAAAATCGCAGGATGAGGCTGATGGTGTAAGCACAGGTCCAATCGTATAGGCTGTCTGTATTCTTAATTGCTTACACTCTTGTCTGCCTTGCTAAGTTTGGAATTAATATCAGACTGTGGTTTCCCGTTCTGGCTGCACATTTGAATTACCTGGAGGAGCTCTGAGACAGCACTAATGTTTCCACCCCCACCAGCCAGTTAATACAGAAAGTTAGGGGTGGAACAGGGGCCTTGGTCTTGTTTAAAAACCCTACAAGTGGTATGAATTCACATCAGTATCAAGAGCTGCTCATCTACCAGACAGTTTATGAGTGGAGATGTAACATGATCGTGGTTTTTTTTTTTTAAATATCATGCAAATTCTGGGTGACTGCTTGGTTAACTTTAAGGGTCTCTAATAAAAGATAAAAAGGGAGATTGCTCTTCCCTAAGAAACTACAGAGCAACATCTTCAAGTTCAGCCCATTTTAGTCCTTGTCTTACTCTGATACCCTCCTGACTTTCCCTGCCCCATAAGTGTACGCCTTCAGTTCAGTTTACATCTGCTGCCTGGATAGGTTCTGTTCAAGACCCTACTGGACTCCCCACTGTCGAGCAAATAATGGCAGACACCTCCCGGTGAAATTCAAGGGTCTATCAACCTGACCACAACCTCCTCCTCCAGGCTGTTCTTCCACCATGGCCCTCGGTGTTCCCTCTACACCGGTCCTCCTAAACCAGGAGGAATCCTCTGGAGATTTTACTAAACTGCAGAAACTCTCATCATGGGCAGACCATCCCTTTGGTCATGGTGTTGCCCCTGCTGCTCCCTCCTCACAGCACCTCCTGAAATGCCGTCATGTTGTCAAAGCCTGCTCAAGTATCACCTTCTCCACCAGGACTTTCCTCTGGCTCACTGAACGTTTATGAGCTCTTCCTCTTTGGAAAGGCCGTGCCACTAGACGCTTCTCTTAGGGCATTCATCGCAGGGACTCGTTCACAATAATCTTGGTTTATTTCCTCTTGAAATAATTTTTTTTAATTTTAAAATTATAGTCAGTTACAATGTGTCAGTTTCTGGTGTACAGCACAATGTTTCAGTCATACAGATATACACATAGATTCCTTTTCATAATCTTTTTCATTATCGGTTACTACAAGATATTGAATATAGTTCCCTGTGCTGTACAGAAGAAATTTGTTTTTTACCTATTTTATATATAGTAGTTAGTATTTGCAAATACAATAATCTGTTAACAATATTTATGAAGTGCCCCCTACGTGACAGCTACTGTTCCCGTGTAGGTGATACAAGAGTGAATACGGTAGAGGAGGTCTGTTTTCATCGATGCTATGATAACTTGTGTTATTAAGCAATTTTCACCTCCCCACCTAAACTAGCTTATAAGCTTCTTTTTAACTTTTTTTTCTATTTTTCTCATCAAAGTTCTTTGTCTTTTGGTTTTGGGTTTTTTTTTTTGTTTTGTTTTAAATTGAAGTATAGTCAATTTACAATGTTGTGTTAGTTTCTGGTGTACAGCATAGTGATTCAGTTATATATTTTTTTCCAATTTATTCTTTTTCATTATAGACTATCACAAGATATTGACTATTGCTCCCTGTGCTACACAGTAGGACCTTGTTGTTTATGCTTATAAGCTTCTTGATGGCAGGAAAAGTATCTTAGTAGGTCTAAGGGGGTTCCTGTGTAGCCAATGTCTAATAAATATTTACTGAATTAGTTAGACGTAGGCTTTCCCCTTATCTAAAGTTTCATTTATTCTCATTCTCTCCCTCCCTCCCTCTCTCTTTCTCTCTCTCTCCTATTAGGCTCTCTTTGTCTCATCGAACTATTTCGAAAATGAACAGAATTGCCAAAAAACTCTTCACACAGTGCTTCGCAATGTTTCTCAGGGAGCATTCCGTATGCCAATTGCCGCAGCCCAGATCCTACCTGCCCTGATGGGAAAGACCTACTTGGACGTTAACAATCACTCTGCCTGTGCCCACAGTCCAGGTATAGCACTGAAAAGCAAACTGCTTTGCCTTCCATCATAACAGTTCCCAGATAGAACTCAGTCCTTCTGGGTCATCAGGGATTATAACCCTCTGAGGATTTGTTCTTGATGGGGTAGTATATGACGTTCTTGGTTCAAACACTGACAGATAAGGTAGACTTGATTCAAGGATGTCTCTCTACAAAGAGACGTTTTCTGATTGCTGGATGCGGAGAGATTTCTGAGCATTACTCCTATCCTAAACAAAGTATGGTGCCTCTGACTTGTCATTATGCTCGATGAGTGAACATAAGCTATCTATGTGGAAAGAATACGGCAGTATTGTAAGAAAACGGCAGCATGAATCGTAATCAAACAACCAATCTTCCAACAATGTATAAAGAAAGAGGACGTTTCCTTCTATCTAATTCAGTTCTGGTTCAGCCATTTATAAATTTAGGGACCTTGGACAAATGTTCAACCTCCAAGCTTCAGATTTCTACTGTAAGAAGTGCAAATGATAATAGTATGTAACATAGGTATCTGTAAGGACTGAATGAGATAATCCATGTAAAAATGATTAGTACAGTGCCTGGCACTTAATATTTTCATTAAATGTTAATAAATAAAAAGGCAGGGGATTGGGCAAAATAGGGGAAGGGGACTAAGAGGTACAAACTTCCAGTTTATAAAAATAAATGTCATGGGAGTCTAAAGAACAGCACAGAGAGTATAGTCAATAACATTGTCATCGCTTTGTATGGTGACAGGTATTACTAGACTTCCTGTGGTGATCAGTTAATAATGTATATAAATGTCAGACCACTGTGTTTTACACCTGAAACAAAAATAATGTCGTAGATCAACTATACTTTAATGAAAAAATTAAAAGGCAAAAAAAAAAAAGAAAAAAGAGGGAAGCATTATTGTATGTTGCACCAAGCAAAGGAAAAAAAAATAGAACAGGAGCCCCTGTGAGAAGTGGAGATGGGGCAATTGTACTGCTGAAACAGCTGGAAGTTGAGGCAAACACAAGCCTTCACAAGCCGGTGAGTATCTGGTTTTAATCTGTGCTTTAGTCATCTGAGAGATCTGCCTCTCCATTGCTCCTGGTACAGACCCTCTTGTGCATCAAGGAAAGGGGTCTTCGGATAGAGGTTGGAGAGGTGCGCAGACGCTAACATCATGTGTATTATTCTGAATATTAATTCTTCTCACCTTTTCTGTCTTTGCTGGTAGACTTCAACATCTCCTCTGATGACCCTGTATCTGTGACACCGACTGTCTCACCCTCAAACATCACAGTCAACTACTACGTGCAAATCAATGAAACACAGCCCATCAGTGTCACCGTGAAAAATGGTTCTGTCTTCCTCGATGTGATGGAGGCAGCTCAGAAGAAAAATAGGACTCTATTTTGGTATGTCTGTATCTAACCTAAGGTTAAGGAATTTAATGTGATTATGAAAGACGCAGCAGGAAAACCTCTGCACCTGAATATAAAGTACACTTAAAACATTTCTTGGGGGTTGAGGAGAGACTCAGTGGTACAGCACATGCTTAGCATGCACAAGGTCCTGTGTTCAATCCCCAGTACCTCTATTTAAAAAAAAAAAATATATATATATATATATATATATATATAAATAAAAAATAAATAAACCAAATTACTCCCCACCCCCCACCAAAAAAGAAAAGAAAAAAAGATTTCTCGGTCAGTGCCTTTGTTGTCCATTCGCATCTCACAGCAGGGGTTAAAAAAACCGGTGAAATGTTTCATCTTCTAGCACACAGCAGATATTAAATACTGCTCTCTTAGTAGATAAGTAAGTACCAGGCTCTCTCTTCTGTCAGTAAACCTCTTCCAATAAATAGAACCTCTTAAGTCAGACATTTTGTCCTGGAACAGAGGTTTTTCACTATTTTTGAATCACTGACCCCTTTGAAAATCAATTGAGTGGGATTCTCATCCCAGGAAAATGAATATGTGCACAAAACTTGTCCTCTAAATCAGAAGTCACACAAATGCCCAGAAGCTTCTCCACGCAGCCCCCACCTTTCAGGAGATTCGTAGACTTTAGATTAAGGTTCCCTAGCCTAGAGAGGTCAAATATTAACATTAAGATATTGACTTTGCCTCTAAAACAACATGGCTTATTTGGCTCCTTAAACCTGAGAGTAGTTTATTGTGTCTAATAACATGACATAAGATGCTACAGAGAATCTTATATACATGAAAATACATGTCTGTGTGAATATATAATTATAAAGGCTGCTTTCAAGTGTCCCCAGGAAGGCAGAGAAATGTGGACTAAAGAATATGAAACAGACATTGACAATACCACTTTTTAACAAACAAACATGAAGTATTAAATTATCCTTTTCTGTTCCTCTTTCTTAAGTACCTCCAGGACAACAGGCTAACACTTTCTTGTGCTGCTTTAGTATCTTCACCAATTACTGTCTTGGGTAGAAGATTAGAAATGGTTGATGGCCAAGTGTCTACTGTGGTGGGAGGGAGGGGCAGAAACCACGGGCATCACTTCTCTAACTTTTGCACGGATTGTGGAGTGAGTGCCCGCATCAGAATCACCTGGAATGTTTATGAAACATCCAAATTCCTGGTCCCAGCCCAGATCTACGGAGTCAGGGTATCTGGGGATAGGGCCAGGAGGTCTGCATTTTTTTTTAAATATCTTCAAGTGATTCTTAGGTACACTGAAGTTTGAGAAACGCTCATGCAGAGTTGCCTTTGAACATTCTAAGTTCCTAGAACCCATTCACTGTCCCCCACAGTTTCACAACGGTGGACAGCTCATGGGGCCCCTACGTCATCTCTGTCCAGGGCATACAGGCCAACAATAATGACAGAACCTACTGGGAACTTCTGAGCAATGGCAAACCCCTGAGCCAAGGTAAGGACAGATGTGCCAAGCAACCCTGCAGAGTGAGATGCCCAGAGCATTCAAGTCTGAGGGTGTACGTTTTGGTGGGGAATGTGCCAAGGAGTTGGGAGAGTCATATCTATTATTTGATGATTTGGTGGTCAGATCATTTGATTCACTTCTTTTTTTTTAATTTAAGTATAGTCGGTTTACAGTGTTGTGTTAATTTCTGGTGTACAGCATAGTGATTCAGTTATACTATATATTCCTTTTCATATTCTTTTTTCTCATATTCTGTTCATTATGGGCTATTACAAGGTATTGAATATAGTTCCCTGTGCTCTACAGTAGGATCTTGCTGTTTATCTAGTTTATATATGGTAATTGGTTCCTGCAAGTTCCAAACTCCAAATTTATCTCTCGACACCCCCCTTCCCCACCAGTAACCACAAGTTTGTTTTCTATGTCTGTGAATCTGTTTCTGTTTTATAAATAAGTTCATTTGTCTCATTCCACATATAAGTGATATCATATGGTATTTTTCTTTCTCTTTTTGGCTTATTTCACTTAGTATGACAATCTCCAGGTTCGTCCATGTCTGCAAATGGCATTATTTTATTCCTTTTTATGGCTGAGTAGAATTCCATTGTATATACATTTACCATCATTTGACCCACTTCTCTTCTTCCTTTTCAGGAGCTGGGAGTTATGTTGTCAAAGATGGAGACAATTTGGGGGTTCGTTGGGCCAAATATTAATAAACTGAAACCTTCCTTCTCTGGGTCTAATCTTTTTGTAGTGGAATTCCACATGAAAATTGGCCTCACACCTTCCTTCTAATTTATCTCAGTCTAGTAAGACAGTCAGTGACCCCCTGTTTCTCTCTTTGCATGTTCAATAAAAGATCAACAACTATACAGAAAGAGTATGTTCTAATCATTTCCCATTAGAAGGGGGTGATTATTAGAGAGAAACCCACCTCAGGAAGAAGTGCAGTGAAACAGATCAGATCAACATGTCTAAGAAGCTGAATTCTACTCAAGGTTTCCCAGCCAACTGTCTGGGTGACCTTGGGCAACTGGGGAAAAGAGATCAAGTTCTGGGTCTGATGTTGTAGCAGCAGCCAATGAAAGCAAGGGGTAGTTGGCAGGGAGACTGGGCTCTCTGAAACCCAGATGCAAAGGAAGACCCAAGTGGACACATTGGCTTCATACAGGCAGTTGGTAAGGAGGAAAAGATAGCTCTGGAGAAGGAGTAAAATGTGAGGTTTACACATAAAAAGTCAGTCGAGGGTGGGGGGTATAGCTCAGTGGTAAAGCACAGGCTTAGCATGCACGAGGTCCTGGGTTCAATCCCCGGTACCTCCATTAAACAAACAAACAAACAAACAAACCTAATTACCCTCAAAAAAAGTTTTTAAAAATACACATGCAAAAAAAAAAATCACTCCAATGTTCATTTCAGCAGAATTCACTTTTTTTTTTTTAAGTTAAATCATGTCTGAGCAGCACGGGCTGGGTTACACTTTTAACCAAGCACCTGAGCTACGTGCACATGCAGTCAGGAACCAGAAGGGCCTTCAAGATGCCAAAGGGCAAAGGGTGTTTCAGATAAAGCATGAAGTAACCCATTCAAAATAACCTCCAAAAAGAAGAGGCCTTTATGGAGAATTAGTTAAAATATTTTGGCAATGTCTCCCTTATTTCTCCCTGTGCTTTTATGATAATCTTAGCTTCTTCCCCTCCACCAACAACCCTGCTTCTCAGGGTTTGAACCCTCTTCCTACACAGTGGTTTCTGGTATGGAGCCTCAACTCTCAGTTCAGCTCTGCCCTGGCCTTCAGTAACTGGGTGAGACAGGTGACTTCACAACTGGGCATCAAGGGATTCTATCCTTTTGGGTCTGTGTCGCATCTTGAAAGCTAAGTTAGAGATGAGGGACCTCCACGGTGCTGTTAGCATGGGGTACCAGCTGTCAGTTTTGTTTGTTACCTATACAATCTATGTGAAATTGAAGGATAATGGTTTGAGGTCATGAATATGCAAAATCTTATACCCGGCCTTACTGTCCATCATAAATATAGTGTGACCATGCAGTTTATCATCCACCACAACACTATTAAGAGGGAAACTGAATGCCATTAATAATTACACTCAGGGAAAAAAAATTAAGAACTAGGACTATCTCAGGAAAACACCTATGGTCAATGTTGTCCATAGGGAAAAATAAGAAAGCTCAAGCAAAAAAAACAGAAATGCAAATGTGTCAAAATAACAGAAAGTATCGACCCCAAAATTAACCTATGAAACTGAATCCCCATAGAACAAAATTGGAATCGGTCTCTCTGAGAACCCTAACTCTCTCCATGATTCTAGCCAATTGTCAACAATATTCCATCAATATCAGCAAAGACACCAATTTGTATTAGACTTATTTTCCCAAATGTGATACAAGAAATTAGTCTAATTGGTACACCGACATGGAATCAAATAACATGCCATCACAGCATTAAAGTTATTTTCTTTGCGATTCTCACATAATTCTGATTGGATTGAATATCAACTCTCACTTTATGCCACTATGTTTTCCAACACTCTCCTCCAGTTACTAGCCTCCATTTTTGACAGAGAGATGAGCATCTCCCAGCCGGTGGTCTCTAAGCAGAAGGCAGTAACACTGCTGTCTGATAGAAATGCCTTTAATCCCAGAGATGGACTTGAAGGTCAGTGGAATACCTCTGCTGTGGCATTCCACTAACATTGGCCAATGAACCCAGCTCTGGCCGCACTTGCATTCTGAGACATCCCTACAGATATATACAAGCCCAGTCAAGAGTTAGCCAAGGACTGTCAAAACCTATTAGTTAAGAAATGTAGGGTATTTGTGGTTCCTGTTCTGGAAGTTGTTTGCTAATGGAAACAACTGTGTCAACATTAGTCTTGAAGCAACCAGGGCCGTAAGTGATCATTTACAAGAAAATGTCTGTTTAAAGAGCAGGCACACCAAGGGTGCATGGGTCATCTCAGGATGGTTATGAGCGGGCTCTGGAACCCATGGTCAGTGCTATACTGGTTCCCGATCCTATATGAGATTCTTACTACTGCTGTGACAAATTACAGCAGGTGTACTGGTACTGGCTTAAAACAAAGACAAATCTATTCTCATACACTGTTGGAGGTCAGAAGTCTGAACTGGGACTCACTGGGCTAAAATCAAAGTGTTGAAAGGGCTATGTTCCTCCGGAGCTTCTAGGAGAGAATCTACCTCCTTGCATGTTCTAGCTTCTGGAGGAATCCTGCATTCCAAGGCTCACGGCCGACGCCATCTTCAAAGCCAGCAATTGTATCCCTCTGACCTCTCCTTCCATCATCACATAGACTTCTCAGACTCTAACTTTCCTGCCTCTCTCTCCCATATATAAGGACCCCCGTGATGACCTTGGGCCCATCCAGATCATCCAAGATAAACTTCTGATCTTAAAGTTGGTTTAACAGCAAACTTAATTCCCATTACCATGTAACCTAACATGTTCACAGACTCGGGAGATTAGGACACAGACCTCTGGGAGGGGAGTGGGAGTGGGGATTGATGTACTGCTGACAGCTTACAAATTTCAGATTTAAGCATCATCCTGGGGGCTCATGGGACCTCTTACAAGATCAAGAAGGAGATCATCATTCTACATGAAGGAAGCTAGAAAGAGAAAGAAAAATACCATATGTCACTCATATGTGGAATCTAAAAAAGAAAAAAAAAAGAAACTAAAAATAAGACACTAATGAACTCATTTACAAAACAGAAACAGACTTGCAGACATTGTAAACAATCTTATGGTTACCAGGAGAAACGGGGTGGAAAGGGATAAATTTGGGAGTTTGTGATTTGCAAACATTAACCACTATATATAAAAAATAGATTAAAAAAACCCAAATTTCTTCTGTATACACAGGGAACTATATTCAGTATCTTGTAATAACCTTTAATGAAAAAGAATATGAAAATGAATATATGTATATATATATATGCATGACTGGGATGTTGTGCTGTGTACCAGAAATGGATACATTGTAACTAACTATATTTCAATAAAATTTTTAAAAATTTTTTTAATTTAAAAAGAAAAGAAGAAATGTTATCTTCTAAGGAGTTGTCAGTGTCAGGAGAATGTTGCTCCTTATGGCTGAGCAGGTATCTCTGCTGACTGGGGAGGTTTAGTTGAAGTACAGCGCAGATACACAAGGCACAGTGGTGGGAGGGAGGAGGTCAAAGTACAGAGAAAAATTTTTATGCTTAAATTTTTCTTGTCTTGCTAAAAAATAAGAATTTTATTTCATCTATGCAATGATCTGGGAAGGCATCTGTCAGCTGAGGGAGGCTGAAGTGAGATTTAAGGAGGTGAGCGGCCCAACCGAAAAAATGCACGAGGAGCTGCCATACCGCAAAACAGACTTCACCCGGAGCGAACATGGCATTTACAGCACTTTATTTTATTGCCATAAGGGGGTGCGCACGCTCTATGGTGCAGCTGTCCTGCTTTTATCTATTTTCTGCCAACACATGACCAATGTCAATTTCTTCGTTCGTGAGGCTTACAGAATATCTCTAGCGCATGTGTACTTCTATTTTCTTTGTTCTAAAGCTTGTATAATTGACGCATGCGTACAATCATTATCTGCTGCATACTACAAACATGCTGTGATCGTGGCCTTGGGTCCCACGGCCTTAACTCATCTCAAGGCCACTGACAGCATCTCTAAAAACTGACCTTTGAGCAGAGACGTGAAAGAAGTGAGGGAGCCACCGTGAGAATATTTGGAATAAGGATGTCCCAGACACAGGGAACAGCAAGGGCAAAGGTGGCTGATGGGGTCAGGGAACAACCAGAGACACTAGACTGCGGAGCCGAGTGAGCAAGGATAATAGGGAAGAGCAAATCTGACCCCGTATTAGATCTGTTCCTTTAGCCCTAACCCTGTGCTCTGTCTCCTGTGCTCAGTCAGGCTGGTTCTGCACCTTTTGTAAAAGAATGTTGCCTAGAGCCTGAAGTATACAGGACAGCCCATTCTCAAGGCTCTGACCTTTAAGAGCCTAACACTTTTCCATTTATATAAAGATTAAAAGTTGCAGAATAGAAAATAACTTTTGTCTTACTGGAAGTTTGCAGGGACACCATGACCTGACCTACGCGGACAGCTGCAAGAACAAAGGATTCTGACACCAAGAAGTTTGCAACAACCAACCACCCCCCAATCCCCATTTTAGTATAGAAAGAGCCTGAATGCTGACTTGAATGAATGAATGAATGAACAAATGAATGAAAGGTGAGAATTGATCCTACTTTTTCTAATTTACATACTTTAATAGATAGTATCTGAAAGACCTGGGAGTTTGAAACTGCTTTCATCCTCATATAAGGAAGGAGAAACAAAATAATATCTGGAAAACTGTGCTCCATTGCTTGCCTGACATCAAACAACTTCAAAGAGCCTAGGCTGGACCCCACGTCATGTCAACTAAATTAACTGTAGAAAGCCAGCCCTCGCCTGGCCAATGCTCACCTGAGAGCCTAAAAGGGCATATTGTAAAGAAAGTGTCTCAGATTATAAGTGAGGTGCTGCCTTAGGAATCACCCAAAGTTTAGTGACGTGATTGCCAATAAACCATCTGAAGGCTGTCTGGTGTGAAAAGGCTTAGGAGGAAGCCTCCTTTGTACTCACACATTAGCCAACCTCCCAGGGTTTGGGTGAAGGACACTTTGTTACCATGGCCTTCATCACGTACGAAGCCCCAAGTGTCTCATATGACCGTGCTGCCTAGAGGTCACCTTCAGACACCTTGGAGGGTCTGTAAGAGGTAAACTTAGATAAGCAAATGGCGATTAGTTCTACCAGGGAAAGAGAGGTCAGCATAAGTGGTT